ATACTCCTCCACCTGAACACTCAGGTGGTTGATAGACCTAATAAGATAAGATCACTTCATTGGCCATATACAGTTTCTTGTATTAGGAATTTGTCTTTTCACATACCCTATCTTGGTCTCCACAAGACATACTGTACAGACAGGGAGAGAAGCTTGGGGTCAGAGCGCAAGGTCAGCCGTTTATACAGCACCCCTGGAGCAGCTGGGATTAAGGGCCTTGCTCAGGGGCCCAATGGAGTATGAGTAACTGAAGATTTCCAACTTTGGAGCAGAAAATACAAGCAAAGGCTCCAACCAAACAAAATTGTTATTTCAGCTAAGGATTGAGGTAAAGAGCTCAGCTGTGGTCTAAACCAGCAGTGTTGGGGTTCCCAAGATCAGGACTGGGAACCTCTAGCATCGTGTTTTCTCCATTTCTAGCATGACAGCAACTCCAGTGCCATGTCCAGTGCCTTTGATTTGTGGTGACATCAGGGAGAGGTGCTGACTCTCCTGTCAAGCGCCGCCGAGATGGTAGCATTTCAAAAGAGCACAGAAGGGTGAGCTAGAGGGTATGGCTGCTAGTTGTCATTTTACCCTGTGCAATGCAGGAACCGGAAAGGTGAATTGGGGCGCAAAGTATTTATGAAGAGAAATAAAAAATGTGGAGGGAGTCTTGTTATGTTACGATGGTCATCCGAGTGTGACTCCCTTAAACCAGCTAGCTCTTGACCTTAGCTTTTTGGAGCCCAGGAACACAGGAAAAGAAGAGAACAAATGTGACCCAGTTCGTTTCAGCTCTGATTTTGATCAATTATCAATCTCCACGTGTATCAGAAATATCAGTCGCCTACCTTGAGTGCATTGATATCTAGTGTCAAAACCTTTCTTTTCGGAAAGGTTTTCACTTAAGTAGCATCTCCGTCTGCTCCAATTTCTTCTGCAGCACTTCTAAACACTTGGCTTTTTTTATGCAGTATGTACTTATTTTTTAATTTGCTATCCTTCTGCTCTGTTTAAAGGCAATATATAATATTAATAATGTTATTATTGTCAGTATAACGCTATTATTAAGCTTTCTTGCATTTTTATAAGAAGACAGACCATGCAACATGTTCTAAATTGAGTAAGAGAGTTTAATTTTACCCTTGCACGGTTCTGGTCAGATTATAAATCCTCTGGCATCTCTATCTTGAGTTCTATCCCAGCGGTGGTGGGAGCACACTTGGAAAGACCTTGATTTACCTCACAGGTCAGCGTTGCTGTCCAGTATTACATCGTGGCGCGACGTGTGACCTATCTGCGAAAGGAAATCGCCGAGTGTTGGGGCCTTTGTGTTTCTAGCAGTAACCGGTGCGGCCATGTTTTACTGGGCCTGTCACGGTAACAGACACTTGCTCCCTCCACACAGTGTGGGGCGGACGCCTTGATGAGGCGCACCCTTCAGCTTGGCTACAGCTACATTTATTTTCCCCTCCGCAGGAATGAGCCTGTCTGTAAATAATAAACCCCTTAACCGATTCTGGACTCTGGAGTTATTTAACGGTTGGAAAGTACGTTTTAAATAAAAGATGACTCACTATTTGACAGTTTCCAACACTGTGTAATAGTGTTTGACCTTGGACATGATGTGATGTGTGTAGACTGATTTCTAAAAATTGATTTTTATGCCTGTACGTTTTACATGGTTTTACATATCATGACTTCTTTTTTTTTTTAGTTTTTGTATCTTTACCAAGTTGTACCTTCTGCAT